AAGGAGAATTTCTATAAAATGATGTATAGATGGTATTTGTCACCAGAAAGATTATCAAAAACATACAAAGGGGTTTCAAACATATAATGGAAATGTGAACAACAAGAAGGGACTTTTTATCATCTTTGGTGGACATGTAATAAGGCTAAAAAATTTTGGACCCAAAATCATATATTAATTCAGAAGATTTTGAAGGTTAATATACAGTTAAAAGCAGAGACTTTCCTTTTGGGACTGATAGAGAAGCAATTGGAAAAAGCTCATGGACCTTTGTTTTTATATATGATAACTACAGCTAGACTTTTATATGCTCAAAGGTGGAAAGACTCGACATTACCTGCAAAGGAAGAATGTATGGTGAAAATGATGGAGTTAGCTGAGATGGCAAAATTGACAGCTTTGCTTAGAGAAAAAACATTGACTAATGCCAATTGGAAGCCCCTTTTGGACTTTTTGCAGGAGACAGAAAATGAAATTATGATATATGGATTTGATGATTAGTTAGAGTAATAGGTTATACAAAATATGTATGTTAAGATGTAGTCTTAAAGTAAGAGGTCACTATATGATTTATCTATATCTGCTGTATAAGAAGTTGGAAGTCATTCTTTTTGTAATTTTTCCTTCTCTTTTCTTTACTTTCCATCACTTTTGTATTCTCTCTTTACTTCTAATTCTCTTGTTCTCTATTTCTCTTTGATTATTAGTTCTTGTTTGCTTTTATCTTTATGCTTTTTATAACAATACATTTCTTATTAAAAAAACAAGTGTGGAAGTGAGAGAGGGGATGGATCCCTGGAGGCCAAATTATGCGTTTCTAGACAGCAGAGCTATCTTTGCTATGGAAATGGACAGTGCTATATTGGATGGGGAATTTAGTTTGGAACCAGGGTTTAAATAAGAGATTCAGTTTTTCCCCGTCTTTACAATGCGGTTAATCTTAGATTCTGAGCTTAATGTTCTTATAGAAGAGAGGAGCTTTAGAACAGTGACATGGAGTATTTCACTTATTTCAGATTGTAGAGAGCCTATTAAATGGACTGATATACCAGCTTTCTTTTTTATCAGACAACCTTTTTTTAAAAAAAAAAATCTCAACTTCTTTATATCATGAAAAATATTGAGAAACTTGGGAAGTTTTTATTTTTTTAAAAAATGAAGTCAATCACATTCTCACCTATTCTTTCATATGGTCCGCTTACCTTTCTGGAGAACTCAGGATTTGGGTTTTGAAAGGGCCAAAATAAAACATCTACCTTTCCCTGTATCTCTGCAGGAAGGATCCTGTGTCAGAGAGGATGGAAACTGAGTTAAGGCCAAGCCTTCCCTCTGGCTTCCTGTGATCTCAGAATTCATTCCTCTGGACGCCTGAAGGCCACAAGCTCCACAGCTCTGTGAAGGCATCTGCAGCAAGAGACATGCCTGGAAAGAGGAAGGTCACAAGGCTGGTAGCTGAAATTCTTCAAGAACTCCAAAGAGCTTTGGCTTATTTCTTAATTGTCTACACATTACTGTTAGGAGGCTTCATTTGTGCCGGACTGATATTCCAGATGTTAGCTGCAGAGTAAGGACCACGCCCAAAATGTGTTGTGCTTGATGGGGACAACAATGAATTAATGGAGGCCATGCACAGCCTTCTTTTCCATTTATAATGAAAACAACAAGCACATCTGTAACTTGGGGCTCTTGCAGATGGAAGTCCAGATCCATGATGATCTCATGACACCACAACTGGACAGTTGCCCTTCTGATGTTTCCCAGCATATCCCAATGACTTGTCATCTCTCCTCCAGTGATGGAAGCCTGCTTAGGAGTGGTAGGGTTTTGCTGCTGTGAGTTCCAATGGACATCCTGTGCCGTTGAGGGGGTGGGGTGGGGAGAGAGTTTTATGTACCCTGCCTCTTGCGCTTAACCCCACGATGAAGTTCGGAGGCAGTGGTGCTTTGCCACCATGTCTGGCAGAAATGTTAGGGATTCACTGTGCTTTGTTTTAAGGGGAGAAAGCAACAGTGAGTGGTAGGAGACATCAGTTCCTAGATAGTAGGTTGAGCCATGCCATTCTGTGGCATAGCTGGGAGGGAGAGGGCTTCTTCGCTGCCTGTCAATTCTCTGTGAGTGCTGTAGGCTTACAAGCCATCCCAACTGTTCCATTCAGGTCCATCCTGTTTTCAAGTGAAATTGGAGGGGTTGGGAGACAGAAATGCTGATCGTCTGGACGTTCCCGCAGGGGCAAAGAATGAAATCTGACAAAGTGAAGGTAAAATATAAAACCAGTCCACAAACCCAAGTGTTGTTCTTTCAAAGTTTGAGAATATTAGGGAGATTTTTAGGCCAGGAAATGCCCTGGACTTCCAAACTGATGCCATGCAGAAGGGTCTCTCTCTGTCTAATAACCAACCATTTCTCTATTGGCAAGGAAATCTACCACAAAACTGGGCTATAGGTCTTGCCTCGGGGGAAAGGTTATATGAGAGAATCTCATTCACTTTGCTGTCTCCTTTTTACTAACAGCCACATGGTACTATTTAGAATCTTTACCTAATTGGCAAGGATCTTCTGATTGATTGACTGATTTGAATTTATTAGCTGCCCAACTCCAATGAACTCTGGGAGGATCTTTACTAGTGTAGATAATATTTGCAGTGCAGATGCAGTTTTAGTATCCTTGACAGGGGACCACCTGGTCTCTGTTGATATCCCCTAGAAGAAGAACCCATCACCTTCCAGGGCTACTTGTAACACGTTGACCCACTTTTTTTTTTATTAGTGGGCAACCTTTCTGACAAGATCAAGCTGGCCAGGGGTGTCTGTGGGGATGTCTGTCAAAAAAGTCACGATGGTGGCCATGACCACGTGATGGAAGCCTTGCGCCATTTTAACATACACTGAACATGTTAAGGGGTGAGGCTTCGATCATGTGGTCATGGCCACCATTGTGACTTTTTTGACCCCTTCCTGCAGATACCCCTGAAGCTGGCCTTGCTCCATATGAATAAACTCGGGAGGCAGGGGGGATGGTTCTAGCAAAAGTCATTCTGTTTTGTTTTATTTGCCATTATTAGAAAAATATCAAATGGCATAGAGGTAGGCTTATCTAAAAAAGAAAACCTTTTTAAATATCCAGAAATATCCAGAGTGTGGGTTCTTTTACTTTAGGCATGGAAAAGTCATTTGTTTCCCCGCCCCCCCGAAATCACTGTGATTACCAACCAGAACTATCAGTCAGGAGGGAAAAAAATCTTTCCTTCCTGTTGCCTGTCCCCACCCTGCAGTGGGAAGAGAAACAAGCCCATTTTTGTGTCCTTCCAAATTCAGCATAATGGTCAAAACTTTAGAGGGATTCAAATTCATATCTGGTCACTTCCCAACAAGTCCTACTTGGATTCAGATATTTCCTGAAACTCTCTGAATCCATTTGATTCAGTATAGCATTTGGCTGGATTTGATAGACCTCCCTAAACAGGGTATCCTGAAGGTACTTCATCCCGTAATATTTTGCTGCGTGTCCCACTTGCAACTCAGTATAATTTTGCTTGCTGCAAATCAGAATCAGGAGAATGCAATTGTGTTGGCTATTTAGGAGAAAGTGGTGACTTTGGGGGCATCTTTTCAAGTGCCACAGTTCTTCCCCCTTTGAGTGGGCCATCTAAATGAGGTTGTTCTGCTCACAAGGAAGCTTCTTTACTGGCACTCCACGTGCTGTTACTAGAGCTGTTAGCAGCAAGAGATCTTTCTTTCCTACTTAGTGTGATTGCCCTTTGGCAGGGGTAGTCGTCGATCTGGGCTGTAAAAATCCAGGCAACCGCTAGATGGCATCAAGGAGCTACAGGAAATTCCAAGTCTTTGCTGCCATCTAGCAGTTGTCCGGCCTTTTGTAGTCCAGATCTGGTAGCCCTATTTCTTGGGCCTCTCCCCACTTGCATGGCACAAACATGTCCGGGCCATCTCTTTTTCTCTTGATGTCCTCACAAGGTTGTCTTCATCTCGTCCTAAGAGGCAGATAGGCTGATGTTGTCTGCGAAATCTCTAGGCTTTGTTACTCTGTAGGTTGGAGGAGAGTCTGGTGTCTGGCAGTGACTAGGAACAGAGCATTATAGGCAAGATCAGGATGGACCATAAGGACAGCAGATGTCATGCTGGTATAGCTTTCTGCCAACTCAAGTTGGGTGCACTTCAACTGAGAACTGGGCAAAAACCTTTTAAGGGGAATGTACTTTTGATTTGGTCGGTGCCAGTGAATTCTGCATGACTTGTGTCACAAGTTCTTTGGGCCTGTTTGTAGCTCTCTCTAATTCAGTGTTTCTCAACCTTGGCAGCTTGCAGATGTGTGGACATGGCTGGCTGGGGAATTCTGGGAGTTGAAGTCCACACATCTGCAAGCTGCCAGGGTTGAAAAACGCTGCTCTAATTCATTTCTCTCCTGAGCTCAGAGAAATGCATCCTACGCATCTGAAAGCACCAAGTAGCTATTTCCCTTCGCTCAAGGGCTCACGACCAAGTTAGTGTTATCCACCAGTCCTTGAGCCAGCAGAAAAATGTGTTGGCATAAATTGTGTTGCCCCCATGGTTGATCTATATTCTGCCATAACAATCAGTCCAGCAAATTAAGATGCCTTTACTTCAGGGAGGAATTATGTCCACCCCATTAGGTAAACCAGACCAGGAAATCAATACCACATGAAGGCTAAAACTACTACATTGAGTTTGGCTATAATAACAGATCCTTGGAAGTCTGCATCTCCTCCCCCCTCTTATACTCCAGTGATTTAGGGAGGTGTCTGCCTGAGCCACTTCCAAATGTTATCTCGTTCTGGACTTAAAAAATGAAAAACTTCATTTTGCACCAAGCTTGACTTGCCTGCTGGAAAACAACTACTAATCACTCTTCTAATGTGAGAAAGGGTGACTTTAAGCAGATGTTCAGAATGGTGGATTTAGTCCTCTGTCAAATTCCCTGATCTGAGTGACAGAACTAAGAGAGGGACACAGAGTGAAGCAAAAGAAATGCTCCCTATGCCCCTGCTCTTTCATCTCCTCCTCTACACCTATTACTGATCTATCAGGCTACAGAATTTCCAAACACAGGTCTAGCGTTCTTCTGGACGACCACTAAACCCATGTTCAAAATTATTTTGACAACAGAGGGTCCAGGGCAAAGCAGGAGGGAGTGATGGATAGCAAGTGAGCTTCACCTTGTTTAGTGCAGCAAAAGGATGGTAGTGCCAGTGGTGAGTGACAAGGGAACCCAGTTTTGACTTTATAACTGGCAACATCTGGAAGTAGCCTGGAACAGTCAAGGTGAACACATGTCCTAGAGTAGACCTCCAGAATTGGGATTGGTTTGCCTTTAATAACAGTTATCACTGTGACACTCAGTGCTGCCCAATGCGAAATGGATGGGCAAAATGATGCTCCACCGTCAACACTAGGGGGCACTTCTGTAGCTGAAGTGCATTGCACAAATAGTCCTAGGAACTTCAGCTCCATTGAACTCATCCTGAGAGCATTGCACAGTGAGAGCCATAATAGTCACAATCTTGCTCAAGTCCTCGGAGCAAATAAAAGTAAAAGTATGGCTGGGCAACCCCTTATTAACAGAAGCCACATAAAACCTGTAACGCACTCAGTAGTAAAAGAGCTAATAACACACAGTTGGCAGAGCCTGGCTCTGTTTCCCAGTCTGCAGGTCAGGATTGGCTCCTTCCCCTGACTGGGTCAGCAACCAAATAGCCGGTGAAGCAAGTCAGGGCATTTCCACAGCAAACCTTGTGCTGAGATCAGAGAGTAAATATGACTTTGAAACTGGAACAGTGAAGGATGACCAAGGATGACTTCAAGCTGCCTCAGTTATGGGCTGTGCGTGAGACTGGTTTCTGCACTAGTGGTTAGGAGCATCACCCAGCCATCCCTGAAGTGATGTGATTACTGTTATTTTGGTACAAAGATGGTTGGATGACTCTAGTAGGTGCTATAAATTGCTAGTGCAGCAATGTCAGGTAGATACGGGAGAAAAAATGTTGCTGAGGGACGTTTGTGGCATGATTAGGGGCAATGAGCCCAAACCTGCCCTTATCAAGCTCAGCTCCCAGTAAATGCTCATCAAGTATGATGCCCTTTCGTTTTTTTGATATCTGAAAAAGTTTGCTGGAGGCTGGTACCCACTGTGACTTTAGGTCCATTTTAGGAATCAGTAAAAATCTACATTCACGGTCTGATTTTCCATGCTACATTTTTTTTCTCTGCAGCAGGCTAACTTGCACTCACTTCTGATGCAGGATGTCTTACTGAGCTGGCCATTATAGATTAAGCAAAAAAGCAAAGTCAAATTATTTCACAGACCTGATTGTACCTACCAAATATTTCCAGTTCAAAATACATTCAAGTCACTCAGTTGTAGGAAACGGAGAAATACAGTACTGTGGCATTTAGTATCCCTAATATGCAATTGACATGGTCCAGATACTTAACTTCTTAATATGAGACTTTATGTCTGATTGATATTCCTTTCAGTATTGAATCACAGAGGCAATGAAACCTGTTTATAATTTTCAGCAAACTCTCCAATTGTATCTGTTATCCACCGTATTTTCCAATCACTATCTTAACTGTGCACATTTATCAGCATTAACAAAAATAACCAGAAGTCATTTTATGCTGTAAGTCATTAATCATTTTTGGGCCTTACCTTCAGGTCATGGTTATAAAAAATACCACATGGATAGTGCCTTATCCATAATGACTATAAAGCTCATTTCAGGATTCTCCCTGTTTAATTTGGTATGGGAACTAGTCTCACTCTTTTGTATTCTATAAGCTGGACTCTGGTTAGAACTTGGATAGGAGACCACTTGGAAATCTGTGCTAGACCGAAGGCAGGCAGGCAGGCAGGGCAAATTACTTCTGTATTGTTGTCAAGACGTGGTCTTACTTGTCCAATGCTAAAGAGACTTTATCCATAATACATTTATTATTAATGCACTGCAAAAGCATTAATGCTGTACAAAAAATAAGTTATGAAAAGGCAAAGTAAGTGGATATTTAATACACAGATTCCACCTCCTGGTTCCCCTAACGTTATCCAAACCATGGATAATTGTGGTCACAAAAGGCGGCCACAAAAGATAAGGGGCTAAGCTTTCCTCTTAATACCTGTCTGCTGTCTTCTGCTCCCCCCCCCAATAATTTGAGCAAATTGGAGGGAAGGGTCCCTCTCTATGTATTTATCTATCAACACTGGTAGCTAGAAGAGGTTTTCCTGAATGAATTTTAAAGATCTATAATAACTGGTGGATACTAGATGGTGACATGCCAATTATTTGGATCAAAGTTGGAGAAAAAGACCTCATCCTGTACAAAATCACCAGCCAAAAGTTAGAAATGTAAGTATGGTGGGGCAGGGGGAACCCTTGAGCATCTCTAAGAATACACTGTGTCCCTTTGAGGGAACTGATGCTGTTTTAAAGACCAGAACTGTCTACCTGCGTGCCGTGTTATGTATATTTATAAATAAAGAGCTAAGGCAAACAGTTACTCGAGCCTGCAGTTCTTTCCTCTCACAAAACCTCCCCATATTCTGTAACAAAAATACGATCCTCCAGCAGAAGGACTAGTCGTCCGATGGCTCATTACCTGCCGCTGGGGGGTTTCTGAGCAGATGCTAGCACTATTTTAGTATTACTGCTGGGAGACATGACCTGTGTCTGCATGTACCTTCCCAAACAGTTCGGTGCATTCCTGAAGCAACCAAAAGCGAAGAAAAATAAGTTGGCTCTGGATACCAGTTCCTGTAAAACAGCAGGAGCAGAAGAACCCTAATGTCTTTATGTCCTGCCTGTGGATTCCCAGAGATACCTTTTGGCTAATCTTGGGGAGAAAGAAAGCTTATTTTCCTTATTCACGTACCCAAGTACATGTCCATTTCCCTGCACCAGAATTTGGTATTTTGGGGGGGAGCGGGGCTAATAATCTTCTAAGCAAGGACCATGTTCATGGCAAGGCCTGGGTTCTCCCTCTGAATAGTTCATGATTGGAGAAATGGTGGATCTTAGCTCCAGGATGTATTTCCAGGGACAAGAGAGACCTGGCATGAGAGGAAGAAGAAAGGGACAGAAATACCTTAGAAAGTTGAATTCTCAGGATCCCTGGTGAGAGAATATGCTCCTGAACGCAAGCAGAGTGCTGAAAGATACTGAATAATTAAGTAATAGAAGGTCCCATTTAAAAACATCTTCGTACCACAGTTGCTATGGATCCAGTCCCATAAGACCGTTACGTCCACGGGCTAAAACAAGCAGCTGCGTTGTCAGAGCTATCCTAGAGCAACTATTTTTGAGTTGTAGGGCAACATATCCAGGTAAGCAGAGGAGCTCCACAACTGGTTAAAAATCCCCAGCCTTGATGAGCAAAAAGGTGGATGAAGATTTATTTATTTACTTATGGCCACCTGACTTGTGGTACACAACCCTGGGCAGCTAACAACAATGATAAAATCACAAGAAGAAAACCAAACAAGATTGCGCCTGGCCCCACTGCAGCCTGCCTCTTTTCTGCGCTCCCTTTCATTTCTTTCCCCTTTTTCCTCTTCCTGTACCAGTAACCTAGTTCACAACCTCTGTTTCTAGAATTCTAAACAGGGTTCCTGGAGACAGTGCAGAACTTTGAATTTTGAGCAGAGTGGCGGAAGATGGGAGGTCTCCCTTCCTCCCCTTCTTCCTCCCCTCCTCTCCTGTAGCCCATCTGCTGTTCCTACTTCCATAGGCTGGCCAGCTTAGAACCCTAATTTTAAGATGACCATCTCAATAAGTAAAACCCTGCTGCCACTTGCTGCCAAGTCAATTCCCAGATAGAAAGGGGCTGACAGCAAGGACTACATCAGGGTCATTTTTAAAACTACAGGAGTGGAAAAAGTATTTTGCCCCACTTTCAGCCAAAGGAGGCCCACAGGGCAGCTTACAAAAATCAGTATTTGGACAGTCCTTTCCATCAGCCTTACAATCTTAGAGGTGTAAGAACCAAGGAAAAGGATTGAGGGGGGGACGAAGAGAAAAACCCCCCCATGAAAATAAAGGTGGTTTGTTCAGTGAGAGATAGCATTAGAGCATTAGAGCTGTTCTGGGCTGGATAACAATCAAATTTTCTCTGCAGCTATTTTCTGCCTAGACTGTCCTCTCATTTGCTCAATTTTTCCTCTGCTGTTCTTCTTCTTCCCTGAAGAGCCATTAATAGGAGCTGGATGAGGGATGTTGATCAAGGTAAGTCCATTTTTCTACAACTGTAATAGAACATTACTTAGTTAAAGCATCCCCATAACAGCCTACAACTCCAGTTTTGGGCATTTCAGGAGCACCCCTTCTCAGAGCAAAAAGAGAGAGAACTACCTGCATTTCTTCTTAAGTTGAAAGAGAACAGTACCTTTTAACCCTAAATGCGGAACTATTTCTTGAACTACTGAGCTGGTGGCTGTAGTGGAAAAAATAAACCTAACGAAGAGCCAATTTGGTGTAGTGGTTAAGGTAGTGTTGTCCAAACTTGGCCACTTTAAGATGAGTGGGATTTATCCCCCCCAAATTTTGGGGTGGGTAGGCACACAACCTCAAATAAACGACAATGGGGAAAAA